AAGTGCGGTGTCCGCAGGACGCCCTTCCCAGCGGCCTTCCGTCTCCCTGCGTTAAGGAGCGAGGGGCGCTCGCTCGCTGCGGCTGTGTGGCGGAGGGCCTCCCGCGGGGCGGGGGCGGTGCTGCGCGCTCCCCGGCGGGCGGAGTGTGCCTGCTGCCCTGGCGTGCCCGGATGGGTCACTCCTGCTCGCTGGGGCTTCCCTAGGAGTCGGACGTTAGGGCTGTTAACTGGAAAAGGTATTCTGAGCCGGCTTACTGCAGCAAGTAAGTCTAGTCCAAGTTCTCAGTAGCTCCGGAACTTGTGCGTAAGGGAAGCCTTTGTGTGTATGTACCCTATGTCTGTAGTCTCGCGTTTCTGCCGCAAGCAGATCTGCGTGAGCTGTGAGTTTATCTGCTGTAATGTCCCAGCTCACATCTAAGTCAGTGGGAAGAGAGACGAAGGGTATATACGTTACAAATAACAGTCGTTATAGCACAGAAACGCTTATGCGACAGAAGTTTGGCTAGAACAGAATTACTTAATTCAGTTACAGGAATTGAATTTTTGCAGGAAAAAAACAAAAAAAGATTATTAAGGACTGAAGTTCTTGAACTGCCTGCTGCCAGCAGGGGTGGGGAGGGGAGTAAACAGTTACTATATTCTGCATAGATTAGATTCAGCTATTTTTTTTTTTTTTACAGAAGAGTATATTAACTTGAGATGAGACACCAGTTTGAAGTAGAACAAAGGCTAGTCTGCAGTGACAGATGGCTAGTTCTGTAAATGGACTTTGCAGACAGGAGACAAAAAACTGTGTAAACTGTGATAAAACTTGATTGCATGAAGTTGGAACGAAAATTTTTTGCTCTGTTTGCAGTGTGTGACTTGCATGTATTACAGAGTATGTAATATATTTGAGGCTATTATTTAAAAAAAAACAAAAACTCCAGTTGATGAATACATTTCTGTTTTTCAGACCCCATCAGCTGTTCAGAAGATAAAACAGCTTCTTAAAGATAAACCTGAACATGTAAGTGCAAACAGGGCCATTTTGTAGATTGTAGTAAGGTATTAGCACTGTTGATGTTTATGAAGCATTTCTGGCTAACCTACTAGCTTGAAATAAGTACTGAACAACTCAGAGATGCCGGTACCTTTTTTGGAGGGGGATGTATCAGCTTGCTTATCTATCAAACTTTAGTTCTTTATAAAAATGAAATCCAGAAAATGACTGACTGACTGTGATGACGCTTCACTGTACAGTTACTTTAGAAACATGTTGAAGTTTAAATTATTTTTTCAATTTTATCTATTTCAAATCTAGATTTTGATTAATTGTTTTAGCGTGGCATAGGTCGTGACTTCTCGTAGGACCAGAGATCTCCAGCTGTTGATTTGAAGATGTAATTAAGTTCTTGAAGGAACTAGCTGTGAAATATGTAATTATAATGTCAGATTCATAACCCCTGAAAAAAGATGTAATTCTTATACATTGTCTGGCAAGATTGATTATTTTAAATAATAATCTGTTTTTCACAAATTAACTGATTGTTGTCATCTTTTCTTCTTGGGAAGAACACTTATGGTTTTCCTTCCTAAACATAAAAACAAGCATTAAGTTTCTTCTTCACAGCAAGTACTATTTCAGGAAGATTATTTCTTTTTTTAACTTTTGTGCAAGACTTATCGTTTCTCTTCCTTCCTGCATGATTGCAACTGATTAGACTCTTATTTTTAACATTTTAAACCATCCTAGGGAAGCCCTAAGCCTGCAGCTTAGCTGGTCAGTCATCCCCTTGTTATAGAATTGTGTGGGTTTTTTTTCTAACCTATTTTTTCTAGTTGTTCTTGTAGGGAAGGCTATTTAATCAGAAGAGAACAGATACTGTTTATCCGAGATCCTACTTGGTGACAACTATTGATATATTTTTATCATAATGCTTTTACAGAGGTTATTGTAATTTTCCTCTCTAATTATGTAGTGAAGCATACATGTTTGGACAGAGCTGCACATACTTCTGGAAAATTTAGTGTTATAGTTCATGTGTCCCTACAGTCATTTCTCAGCTCTTCACTTACATAGATATTCTTTTTGTCCGTCGTACAACATCATGTTGGGTAATTGCAAATAATTAAAACATATTGACTAGATTGACCTTTAACACTGATAACTACAATAAATGAATAAACATACTTGCCAGAAAAGGAGAAAAGATGGATTTTAAAGTAATGAAAAACACAAACAAAGTAATTTTTTTCAGAGCTTTGGATTGAAGTGAAAGCTTTCCAGTAGCCGTTACAGGAGTTCCATGAAAATTTAGCAATCACCCTTTGCTTGTCATCACAACTTTGTAATTAAGTTACTATCATTAATCTAAAAATAGTGCCTGACCTAGCATTTGAATAAACTTTCATTTGAAGTCACAAATACATCTGTCTTTGAAATTTAACCCTGACTTTTATGCCACTAAGTACCTACAGAAGTGCTGATAGTTTTTTACTTTAAAACTTTTTTTTAATACACACTTTAGCGTTTTGTCCGCAATAGCAAACATCTGGCTTAATAATCATTTTATTTATACTAACATTAATAGCAGCAGAAGTGGTAATGACAAGTATAACTGTAAACTCAGCTGATGTATTCTTGCAGTACTGTCGCTTTTATGTAAAATGTGCAATAACATAGAACAAACGTAGCATGGAAGAGTCAGATTTTTGCAGTACCAACCCATATAAGAGTTATAAAATGAGTAATTAATACTTACGATTTGTGTGCTAACTTTTACCCTGGTAGTCAGTCTGTAAAAGAGGAAAATGTAACCTTCTAATGCATTAAGCTTCTGTTTTAGCACTGAGTTTGAGGCAGAGGAAAGTAAATGTCAGCATTTTCTTGTTTGCATACTTTCTATTTTGGTGTTCCAGAAGGTATTTAAAACATCATTAATGTTTTATTATCAGGTAGGTGTGAAAGTAGGTGTTCGTACAAGAGGATGCAATGGACTTTCTTACACATTAGAATATACAAAATCCAAAGGAGACTCTGATGAAGAAGTAGTTCAAGATGGTGAGTTTCTCATGTGGTAAAGCACAACTGTGTGGTGGTGGTGGGGAAGAATAACTTAATTACAAGTTTGCCAAGGGGCAGGTTAGAACTTCTTTTCAGTAGCAAGTTATAGATGCAGAAGTCTTAGCATACTGTTATAGGAACAGTTACCCTGGTTTTTGTTATGAAGATGTAGAAGTAACTAGTTAGTTCAAATCTGTAGATTTGTAGTGGAAATGAAAGTTGGATCCAAGATAAACCTCATTTCATGCCCATGTTGGATTAAGTTGGAATTCTCTAGGATAACAACAAAAGAGCCTGTGTGCTGGGTCGGAATAGACGGTCTAGCCTATTATTCCTATCTTGGGAGGTGCCACTAGCAGCTACTTAAAGAGAGTATAAATCAAGGCACATCTAGAGAAATACTTTACCAGCATGCCTAAAATAACCTTAGCAAGATAAAGATTTTCTGAAAGGTGTTTTCCAGTCCGTCTTTTCCAGTAACTTGCCTTATCCTTCATTAACTTAAATTTTAGTTTTAATCTCTTTATGCTTTTGATATAGGCATCGTGACAATGAATTCTGTAATTTTAATTAAGCAATCGTGACAATGAATTCTGTAATTTTAATTAAGCAATGTGTTTAAAACTTTTTTTTTTTTTTAACACTGACATTTGAGCTTGCCACCTGATAAGTTCATTGAGTATCCCATCATGGGTCTGTTGTCGAAGTACTGAATAACTGTACCTTAGATGGTCCTAATTTTTATAGAAACCTGTATTGGTGATCTTTTTGTCAGGTTTAGATTTTTAGAGGCATAGAAATGTTTGTCTTAGTTTCTTTTTGATCTCTCTTTCTTTTCTAAAAAAAATTCTGAAATTCTTTATGCTCTTTTGATATTATTGAACTTTGCTCTGTTTAGGTCCAGGAAGATTGTTTTTTATCTGGTAGCAAAGTCGAAGATTTAGAATTTCTTCCATACAGAAGCTGTGCTGCTTGGCAGAGCCCATCTTTCAGCTGCTTTGAAAGTATCTGTGACCAACTCATAAATTTTATTCTCTTAAAGAGAGAAATAGTTGGAACTTGAGCCAATAATTAAATTGAGCTGAGGTGGATGAGATCAAAAATGCCACCTAATTTTGCAGGTGCCTAATTTCATTCTAGTCCTAACTTCAAAAAACTTAGCTGGCTCCTAGGACTGGACTCCAGAGCTGCTCTGGCCTTGAAAATACTTTTTTGGAAGGTGAATCCTGGCTTGGATCTTCAGGGAGAGGAAAGGATTTTGTCACTGTTGTAATAGAGGCTTTAAGCTACAGAGCCAGACAATGTTTCAGATGTGCCTGTGTGCTTTCCGTTTTATTTTGGTTGCTTCAAGACAGCTTTTGACTGAAGACTCTGACTTTTGTGTAGCTCTCTGCTCAGGTAGCTGGTGCTCAGCCCGATTTTCATGACTTTTAAATAGCAAGTGCTGATGCTTGATACAGAATCGTGATTCTGCTTCAAGGACCAGGTCCGTAAAGTCTTCCGTTATATTTGTCCTTCCCTGTCAATTACAGTCCAAGCTGAGCAAAAATTGTGGAGGTTCAACTTGGTTGCCCACAGACTTGAGCTGTGTTAGTAACATGTTCTCTCCTCACAGTTTCTATGATGAAATAGCTTTCTAAAAGTAGTTCATGGAACTTGATGATTTCTTTTGTTGCTGCTACTGATACCATTTTTTATTTTCATTATTTCCTAGCCTGTGGTCAGCTAAACCAGTCCATTCATGCTAACCGCTTCATATCAGACGTACAGTTTTAAAGCATAGTAACTTTCCAGGCCGGTAGATACTTTGTATACTTTAGAAAAGGGAGCTCTTTTTAGCTCCTGAGATGAATTATTAATTCTGAATCCTTAAAGGTAATAATATCTTTGAAAGTTCACAGATTTGCCTTGGTGTAGGACTGCATACTAGTAATAATTTATGTAGACCTAGTAATTTTGGCAGAGCAAAGGACAGTCTTGGAGATGGAGGTTCTACAGTTTATTTTTTAGGGTTTTTGGCATTTCGTTGGATACGCAGACTTTAAGAACACTAGGAAATAGGTTACTGATTAATGCATGGGAAAACAAGTATCAAAGGTGAATTTAATTCCTAGGTTCTACACCTTTTGGCCTAGGTGTCGTGATTTTCAATCCATACAGAAAATACATGCACGTGTACACACACCATCTTAGGCTGATGAAATCAAGTTGTATTGATGTACTTGACATTTAGCTTCCATTTTAATCACTGGTTGAAGTACAAGTTCAAAGTGAATGATGACCAGTTTGGCTGTATGTAATTTTGTTGTTGTTGTTGTTTTCAAGGGGTTAGAGTGTTTATTGAGAAGAAAGCACAGCTGACACTTCTAGGAACTGAAATGGACTATGTAGAAGACAAACTGTCCAGTGAATTTGTCTTCAATAATCCAAACATCAAAGGAACGTGTGGCTGTGGAGAAAGCTTTAACATATGAAATCTCAGGACTGTTACTTTGACTTTGAACACCACAAATCACTTACTGAGTATGTGGCTTTCAAAAGCAAATGCGTTTTCTTCAGGTTCTTAGGCTGTGTAAAGTGTGGATGCCGTTAAGGAAAATAAAGTTAATTCATTTTCAAAAATGTAAATTGTGTGTTAAATTCCAGCACTGATGTATGTATGCTGTAATTTGTGATGAATTGGGATCCGGAAGGTAAGAACACTAAGTGCTGTAGCATTTCTATATTTTCATACATGAAGGAAATAAAATCTCACTGTGCTTTTCCTTTGTCATTTTCTTTGTCTACTCCCCTCATACTTCCCAATCCAAAACCCATTTGCAAGAATATATTGCGTATGTATTCTGCTTTGATTTGAAAAGAAATGCCATTTATATGTTTGTGTGTTTATAGATATTCATATACACAGACGCACACTCCTCAGCTTCAGAATTCACTGTGATTATGTAGATGCATATTCCGTTTTATTAGTTTTCAGATGCTTTCATGTTTCTATGTATAGGTTTTCTGGTGGTTTATTTTCCCTTAAGACTAGGGAAGTCCAGAAAAGTTCCTATGCTGTTTCAGCAGTGGTTCAGAATGTGCTAATCCAATCCTGTACCTTGCCTTGTTGAAGGCACAGTCCCTCATGTAGTTGAAAAGTGGTTTTCAAGAACGTAAAGTTAAAATAAATTCAGATGTAGAAGTATTAAAGCAGAATACAGATGGGCATTGTTTCTCACATTTCTGTTGTTTCTCTTCATCTTGCTTGACTTAACTTGCAAAATTGGTAATACTGATCCCCAGTGTTCGCCGAGTATGTGTGTTCTCCTGTGCTATCTGTGCACCAGAAGCTATGAAGGTATTATTTGAGAGAGGAAGGAATCTTGTAATTTTCATTAGCTTTTTGTAGTCATGTTTGTTACTAACTTTGTTACAATTTGAACTCTATTTAGTAACTGTGTAGGAACCAGAGTTTTTTGCTTACCAAAGCTGTTGCTTGTGGTAATTTCTGTTTGACTTCTCTCTTGTTAATAACTTGGTAACAGGAAAACCATTTATAATTTAGAAAGGCTTCTATTTAAAACTTATTTAAAATTAATCCTAACAGAAGTTAAAGTATTACATTTACAGGAGGCCATTTTTTTTATTTGGAAATTAAACTTACTTATTTTCTCTTAATAAGAATTTTCCTTTTCCAAAGCAGTGGTTTTCAAGCTGATAACAGTCTTCAGCACTTATTCCACTGGTGCTCAGGCAGACAAGTAAACCTCTCTCCTGGGCTCCTCACTGGCTGGGGTGGGAGAAATAGCTTTCCATCCTTTTATCCTCCTGTTTCCCTGATTGTCCAAAGATGATAGGTAGCTAGGCTACTCACTTGTGTAGAAGAAACTTGTCTGTGAGCATCTGATTTGAACAGTTAACTCAAAAGGTAGAAGTAAAAAGTAGTGGACAACGGGGACAAGGATACTATAGTCAAAGACAGGAGGACAGTGACATGGGATTGAATAGAGTATTAAGACAGGTGGTTGGAAATCCAGAGTTCACATCGGTCTGGAGAGTCGTTCATGGGGTAAAGGTGAAGAGGGAAGACTGAAAATGAAAGAACAACAGAAAAATCATTCTTGATATATCTTACGTAGTACACAGGAATAGAAAGCTAGAATTTCCACAGGTATGGTTTAATATTAAATACTTGAATTGTATACTATATCACCTATTGATGTAAAAACACTGGTTTTCTTTTATTAGTCAACTCTTGTACACAACTGCTTTATTTTATACAGTAATTCAGGAAGAACTGGTAATACAGGGGCTAGGTGAATTTATGCCGTAAGTCCTTCAATCTTGCCAAAAAATCTAGTGACTGTGATAGAGTTGAGCTGGTATGTCTAACACTCCACGTTGAGGGCATTTCTTCAAGTTATTTTTCTTTGCTTCTTATTAGAAGTTAAGACTATGAATGTAGCACTGGTGGTTGCTGAGGGTGCTGTTGTTTTATTCATTTAATTTGGTTTGGGGTTTTTTTTTTTTTTTTTTTTTTTTTAGGCCTTTGGCATATTTAGCATTCCTCTTCATGTGTGTTGTGTATATGCCTTGAAGAAAAGTTTGCACTTTCATACTCCCTGAAATAATCTCCTAAGAGTTGTCAATTTACTAAAACACTTAACGCACAATGTGTTAAAGTAAACTATGAAAGTGCTGGTAACAGTTACATAGGAACATTGTTTTGTTGATTGGTCCGTTATAATTTTGTGCAATACTGTATGTTGAGTTCTCAGTTATAATAATAAATATTGCTTGTTGGTAAACATGGAGTACTCCTCTCAAAATTATTCTGTTTACAATAATAAACAAGTGCTGTTGATGGGTAGGAAGGAAGCATGGAGGAGATCAGATATTCTGGGAATCACAAAGAGGTACATTATTGTTGCCTAAACTAATATTTTTGTGAAATATTTAATATTTCCAAATATTAAATGTTGGATTAGTTTAGGAATGTATTATGAAAATTTATTTACTAAAGTAACTGTGCACAGAAATGTATTTTCACATCTTACTTGAAAAGGTAGGCAGTTAATGCCTAAAGTTATTAAACTTCTCCATACACTTTTCTTGGTGTAAAATTCTAGTAGGCAGATGCTTATCTCAAAAACTTCCATATGCCAAAAATCTATTTTGGTACATTTCAGTGAGGGGAAAATGATTCTGATCAAAGTAGCTGTGGACATAAAAGCATTTTTTTCACAGCTAGCCAATTTGAGTGGGAGAATTAGTGAAATATCCTGACCGTTCTACAACAGTGCCATATGATGGTACCAGTATGCCTTAGCGTATCATGTGTATGCTACATTTTGGGTCTTTTCCTTAGATACGATCTTTTCACCTCTAAGTTAAATTCCCTTTTCCTGTTACGTGAAGATTCTGAATGATAGGCAGAAAGCGTAACGCTTTAAATATGCTAGACTTCATCAATGAACTTGTATATTCATGGTGCTGGGGAGTGAGCAAAATATTTTATTTAGTGAAGAGACTGGAAATGCAACAGCTATCTCTTTGTCGGAATTCTTACGGAATTTGTAATAATTGCTGCTTGTGAACGTTAATTGCAGCAAGTCTGTGCCTGATTCACCCCTTCATAGCACTCTTTGAGTGGCTCAAGTAGGAAGACTTGTTGAGGAAAATGCTGAAGAATTCAGTATGCAAGTCATTCTGACAACAGTTGATGGGACAGAATGAATTTGAGCTCTGAAATGAGAGATAATATGCAGGTAGGAGGACAGTAAAATTTAATGTTGAATAAACATAATTTTTTTGACAGTTAGATCCTGTTGGTTGCTTCAGTTTGTTTCTTACTATGATCTTTTTTCTCCGTATTTAAATAAATAACTAAACTTTGCAGTCCCTTCTGACGGAAGAATTGATAGGTGTCTAATGTGGCAAAGTACACATCTGTGTGTGTTTATCCCAAAAGAGCACTCAAATGACTACTTGAAAAATAAAATTTAGTCATGGCCTGTACACCTTTTTGTCTATAAAGTGATCTCCTGTGTAGTGTAAATTCTCAGATAACCAATTTGCCCTGCTTTGTTCATAACTTCTACTTTTAAGATATGTGAGATAATGTTGCTTCAGTTTGTTTAACTAAAATGCAAGTAGTTAGCAGAATTCCGTAGGCATTTGGGTTTGAGTAGCACTAGAATAGTAATTTTTATATGAAATTATCTTAAATATGTTAATTTTTTTTTTAAGTAGAAGTGCAGTACTAGAAGGTATCTGCTGAATTTAAGCAAGGTCTTCACCCTCATCTTTTATGGTCCTCTTCTGGCAGCTATTTCTTAGCATATATGTTTTAAACAATAATTGTTCTCCCCAAGCCAAACTGTGGAACCCAGGAGTCCTAGACCATATCCAGCTGCACTTTCCTAACCCCTAATTCTCTTTATAGGCTCGACCATAAGTACTAGTTCATGGGGAAAAACACCTATTGCCACAGGGTGCCAGCAAGTTTCCAGTCCGTCCATTGCAAAACAAGAATCGCTACAAGAATCGCTTCTCTGCTGGCACCCATGCTCTAAGTTTCCTATTGTATTTCATGTATACTAAAGTACTTTTGCTTATAGTGAAGGTAGCTGTTGTGAAGTTGTTCTGTCTGTCCTTTTATGTATTTCTTTCTGTGCTTTCTACCTGTTCTTGAAGAGAGGCAGATGGCTGTAGAAATAGAGAAAGCCAAGTCACTTTAGACCATCTGATGCAGAGTAATAGATAAGTAGAGCATAGCTTGCTAACCAACTGTGGTCAAGGACAATGCTTTTTTCTGTTAAAGTGTTTTTTTTTTTTTTTTTTTGGGGAGTGGGGCAGTCCTTTATGTGCTAGTAGTGTGCTAATGTAGTTCGTTACTGCTGTATATGACTCCAAATTATTGCAGATTTATTCTGATTGCTAGCTTTAACCTCTGGGATAACGGCAGTTCGTTGTTGGAATGATCCGCTGGGGTGAAGAATCTAATCAGACTGTGTAATGTCTGTTCATAGCAGAAGTACCCTCATCTGTTACACCTTACTTACCTGGGTTTTTTGCTAATTACATAAGGATTTTGCCTATGATTTAATGCTGATTTCCTTCTATAGCTTACTGAAACTAAGTCTAGATAGCAGAAATAATTCCACCCATTAACTAATGAAATAATGATCCAGACTCAAAAAATTTGAAAGAGCCCTGAGTAGTAGAATTCATTTCACACAGAGGATTTCCAGCCAGCCAGTTGCTTTTGCAGACATCTGTGTTAATCTTTCATTAGTTCATGGTGATTTGTTCACATAAACCTGACATACCTAATCACAGTGTTCTTTTTGATTCAACGCTAAATAATTGTATGAAATGTGGCAAAACTGTGTTTAAATTGTATTGTTTTGCTGTTAATTATACTTTTTCTGCCTTGTACTACTTTCACATAAGAAGCTTAAAGGCAAACAAGCATTTGAATGAAGAGGAAAGGCAAAGTGTTGATGAATTTACTGATGCCAGATCCTCTGAAGGACACAGGTGATAAGAATGGGAACCAGTCCCTCCGGGAAGCTGCCATCCTCCGTTTTCATAAGAGATTTGTAGACTGCAGTCCTGTTCTGCGAATCAAATCTGGTTGAAGTGTAATGTCAAAGTTTCCTTTCTAGTGGATTTTCAGTGAATTCAATATTGAAAATATTCTAAACTTGAGTGTAAATAGTAATAAAAAACTGCTGTTTGGAAATTTTATTGAAAAGAGAAATTGCATTGCTTTCCCTTGAGATATATTTCCCAAAATTTTGCCTTTACTGTTAAAGCTAGGAACTGAGATATCACCAAACAGACTCTGGCAAATGCTGCTGAAATGGTTTTGAGAAGTTCTTGTCTACTTGTCCCTGCTGTTTGAGACTGCTGCTACTAGAGCAGATTCAGAAATTTCGCGAGTGCCTGCACCTCAAGTAATGAGGGTGAGTTAATGTTACGTTGTGCATTCAGTTGCTTCAGGAGAGGCAGCTGTCTTTTGCTGAAATGCAGATAGCTCCAGGAGTGATAAACAGCTATATATCGAGCGTGGGTTTCTTAAATCACCATATCAGGATGAGCTAGAGAGCATCTGTCTGTGTCCTACGGACTCTGAAATATCTGCTGCAAGGAGATTGGGAGGTACCTTTTACTCTTGGGAGGTACTCTTTTCATAAAGAACCTCTAGCCTCTACAAATAATTTGGAAAGTTAAAGTGATCTTATAACTCTGAAATCTAAGCTGTTAAACACTTAACAAAGATTTTACCTTTCTCATTTGATGGACATGGCCCACAGCAGAACTGTAAAGTAATACAAAAAGATTCAGAGTGATAGTTGCATGCTGCAGGTTTTGAACCTTTCAAAGAAGATTGCTCGTGGTGGATCTACACATGTCATCGTGCATGTTACTACAATTTGTGCTCCCAGGGCATTAGTTAAGCTAATTAGAACAGTGCTATGTATAATTAGGCCCATATGTTGTAACGAAGAGGAATTGCCCACATGAATTTCTAAACATGCAAATCTTAAGATACTGTGAATTAGAAAAACATTTTCTGGAAAATAGCGCTCCGGTGGGAACCCGTCTGAGCTGAGTTTTGATTTGAGGGCGCTTTGGTGCGCTGCATGGGCTGTGGTTTCAGTCCTGGTTTGCTAATACCTCTGGCCACGTTAGCTCAAGAAGTTTGCCTGTGCTGTCACTTACTATTTAAAGGAAGCTCAATGCAGAGCGTGGCCCTCTTAGTTCAAGAAACTGGCCTCTTGGGCAGGAGTTGGGAGGAGTGTGAAAATATACAGAAAATGGGGAATTTTTAGCCTGAGGCTGGCTGCCAGGTAACATATTTAGCCAAATAAATACCAAACGTCAGTTGACAATACTGCGTGTTGTATCCATCCTCGTGCCAACCTCATCTGCCGTTTACTGAAGTTCATTTTTTGTAACCCAGAAGCCTGGGGAGTTACTCCCGTAAACACAACCCGTGTTTGCATCTGGGGATATTCGTTAAAGAGGAGCCAGGAACCATGTTCCCCTAAGGCAGGCTTTCCCTTTGCTGCTGGATGTGTAGGAGGGAGCGAGCCTCGCCCTTCCCTCCTGCTGGAGGGGACTGAGAGAAGAAGGACTGAAGGACACGGAGACGTGGGACAACCCAACGTGCCACCCGTGGAAGCCGTTGGCCCCCTGGGCCCC